TGATTGTCGTTGTGTTTCACCTCTAATTGCGATCCATTACTGTCTTTATCCGAGCGATTAATTAATGTCCACAAAGTCAGGCTTGTATTTGCCGTTCCCGGCCATTGACTCGCAAATATCAAATTTGCATCTTGCTCAGTTTTATAAAACGGTGTCCACAAGTCACTCGTGAGTAATGGCGCAAACTCTCTCATTATATTTGCAACCATTTTGGTGGCCTGACAGTCCCGATCAGTCATTTGGTTCCATATCCCCCATACGTTTTCCCACGTCTCCAGACCCACGCCATTAAACAATGCCATCTGAAGGTATTTGATCTTTGATTTCGACCATCGGTCGCTTATATGAACCTGGTGTATTTCATCAAACACTGAGTACATATAAATTCTATACTTAACCACATTACATTTAATGCAGGTTTATAAATTATATCTAATGTTTAATATATATCTAAATATGTTATTGATTTAAACAATAAAGGAGTTATGGGACCTTAATAACAACGTGTTTTAATTTTATCATTTTTTGAGTGTATACTCAACGAGAAGCCCGTATAAGTCATGTCTTTCATATCTTCTTCATAATAGTGTTTTAATCTATTCAAAAAATTTGTCATACTTTCTAGTTTTAGATAGTTTAAAATTAAAAATCATTATTGTATATTGTATTATACCCTAACAGTATACTATGTTTAGTTTACCTTAACAATTAGTTTTAAAATAATAATTTTAATGTCTTTAATAGATCTAACTCAGCCAACAATATATTAATTTCCTCCTGGTGCTGGTAGGTGGGTACATTATATTGTATATTCTCATAGAATAATCATGGCTTTTATACTTTGTACAATATCACCCATAATCTTATCCTTTAAACTTTACATTGTTTCACAGGAATAACATAATTTCTAAAGTACAAAGACATACCATTGCTAATCTATGCAAATAGACTTAACATGGGATATTTTACCATACACGTAAGCTATAGATACAGAATATATACCGGACTGTATATGTAATGTTGACGTATACCTGGTGACGCGTCTCAATCCATTTATTTCTGCTGACCACTGGCCGCGCAGATTTGACGTCCCAATAGTCTTTATAGCCCCACGACATGACATTCCAACTCAGAGCTACTATCCCCTCGTCAATCAAACCCCATTCCGGTTCCAACACAAGTGGTCTTAGATCTCGAACGGAATTATCGAAGTACTCCTTATTGACGGAAAGCATTGTATCGCCATTAAGACCGTCAGCACCTATTTCGGCCATTGTCTTGGGCACGACGACTGACCAGTCGGCACCGGGATTGCGTGTGCCAATGTCCCATGGTTGTAACGGGAATAGGACTTTAATATTATGCTGGTGAAAGTCGGAAACCATTTTCTTAAGTCCATCGATTCCATGGGGCATATCTCTGATCATATCATCCATATTCCGGTTGTCAATCCCTATATTGGGGTAATTCGGCCAAATCAACACCGAATCTATGCCACCGTATCGTTGTTTCAGACGATTCACGTATTTATCGACAGTATATTCATGTGTAGTGTAATCGTAAAAGTCTCGGTCGTGAACCATCATTTGCGGCTGTAGTACATTGCTCTGTGCCCACTGTAACTCAGCCAGTTTGTAATTAGCATCGGTGTAATTGATCCTGGTCCGTTCACTTTGTCGAAACTCATGCATAGCTTTAAGCCAACAGTCAAACTCTTGTGTTGTGTTCGGGCCCTCAATCACTTCCCCCACTATTACCACTTCGCACGGCTCACCGACTATTAATGGCGCTGTAATTGAAATTCAAAAATAGGTATTATACTGTATGAACAATTAAATTGTTTTTAATAAACATTAAACTTTGTTAATAATAAAGCCGTTTATAATTATGTGTATGATTATTAAAAAGTATCATTACGAATTAAGTGATAGTATTAATTAGACACATATTAAACAATTATGATAATACCTAAAATTAGACCCAAAATGAGTAATAAAATCATTTGAATGCCACGTTTGTGATCGAAATACTGGTAAATAAATACACAAACTATCACTTGTGTGTAATGTTAGTTCGAAAGTGGTTTCTATTTATATATCAATTCCTTAGCGAGACTTTCATTGAGGGGACACTCAGCTGTTCAAATAGATATTGATCATTTTCATATAATTGTATTTGTCTACGTGTTACTACAATTTCCAATACAGTAAAAGTCAATAAAATACAATAAAAGTCAGTACAATAAAAGTTTCCTAATAATGGCAACAATAAGCATTAATGTAACAATGATTAGCACATTGGACATAAGAGTTCTGACTTTATCTGACATAAGTTAATCACTGTGATTATGAGTTAACAAGTTATTACCTTATACTGTAACTCATTCATAGAATGTCCTAATAATGAACTTATAGATTTTCGCACAGAGATATGCTGTGCTTTTGAAGAATTAATCAGATTTTCGGAACTATTAGTGCATTCATTCATTAAATTGACGTTTTCATTGTAATTGTAATTGTATATGACAGAAATGAAACTGTAATAATAGACAATAAAATTGCATAAATACTGTACGATTGTAAAAGGCAATTGATTTTCAATTTTAAATAAAACTAAAATTATTGTAAAGTTTTTACGGTAAGTTTTTTGGGCAAAAGGTTTAGGTATTTTGGGTAAGTGTTTGCCAAACCATACCTAAAAGAGTTCGGTAACAGGTGGTCGGGATGGGATGGGAGGGCATTCGCTTGGGAACAAATTGATAAAAAACTTTATAAGCTAAATATTTAGATAATAGCTAGATAATTGGACAGGAAAATAATGCACCCATTTGTTAGATAGATTTGATAGTAGGTGCCCATAGTTGTTAAGTAATGAAATGACATTTATTGTTAATTTTTTAGAGTTCAGAGTACAGTCTGTGTGAAAGGAATTTAGCGATAATTTTAATTTTAATTCCTATTCTCGTTGTCTGTAATTGACTTTAAATGTGATCATCAAATAAATCAAATTAATTAGTATTTCGCAAACAAATTGTTATATTAATTATCATGAAAATTATTACTGAATTTTGATGTGACAAAAACCAAATTAATAGAATTATAAATTAATAATTCTTATTTTGTTTGTTAACAGAAAAAGTAATTTCAATACAATTGAAATTATAATATAAGTTTGATTATAATATAATCTGAAATCCAACAACAAGTCTATCGACAACTCTAACACAAATGTGATTATTTGTGATTAACATACATCGGTCGTAATAACAACTTTTTTCCGATGAAAATTAATTTCTCCAAAACGGATAATCCAATCCTAATCCTCTCTTCACTGTTTTATAGCCCATACTTTCCGGATTGTAAAAATAATTTTTATTTGACAGAAGTCTACCATGGTAACTGCGCAATTTAAGTTTGCAAAAAAGAGGTTTTTGCATTGAAAATACATTGGTTTTTGTCATAGGAAAAGCATAGTAACATAATAGGTGTTTGTGAACTCCATTTATTCCTAAACTAGCCATGATAAAATTAATCCATTTAAAGCGAATTTGTACAACATGATTCTGATTATTCTCCCGAAGACATTATGTCTCTACACCATGTTTAAAAGAAGAAATAGTCTTTGTTTGTACAGCAAAAACTATACTAAATAAAATTAATCTGATAACTGGATTTGAAAGAGAATTCAAAATTAGCGAGTACCTATTTTAGGAATTTTTTATTAACATTAAATTTAAATTTTTAATTAAAGAATTTAATGGTTAAAATAAAATTTTACATAAATTTCAACATTTATAATTGTGATCACTAAGAAATTTATTATTAAGAAAAATTCCTAAAATAGGTACTCGCTAATTTTGAATTCTCTTTCAAATCCAGTTATCAGATTAATTTTATCTAGTATAGTTTTTGCTGTGCAAACAAAGACTATTTCTTCCTTTAAACATGGTGTAGAGACATAATGTCTTCGGGAGAATAATCAGAATCATATTGTACAAATTTTTTTTAAATGGATTAATTTTATCTTGGTTAGTTTAGGAAAAAATTGAGTTCACAGACACAAATATTACTAATAAACATTTTTTCGATTAAAACTAATGTATTTCAATGGAAAAACCTCATTTTTGCAAACTTAAATTGGACAGTTACCTTGGTAGATTTCTGTGAAATAAAAATTATTTTTACCAACCGGGAAGTATTGCCTATAAAACAGTGAAGAGAGGATTAGGATTGGATTATCCGTTTTGGAGCAATTAATTTTGATCGGAAAAAAGTTGTTATTACCACCGGTTATATTCATATAAATGTACGAGTTTGTTATGATCCAGACGAGTATAACTTTTTTACAATCGCTTTCGTTGCATATCAATACGTTTGTGTCGATTTAGATTTGATTTTGTGGGCAATTTTTTGCCACAATTCACTTCTTTGCAAACAAATGGTTTAAGTTTCAAATGAACGCTATTTTTGTGTCGATTTAGCGCTCATTTCTTTGCGAATCGTTTGTTGCAATCCATGCCATCGCAGGCAAACAGCTTCTCTCCCGAGTGGATCCGTTTGTCACGATTGAGATGTGATTTATAAGTGAATCGTTTGCCACAATTGGGCCAAAAACACACAAATGGTTGATCACCTGAATTAAGGGCACCATTACCTTCATTTGGTTCACAATTATCAATGCTTTCCCTCCCATCCACTCCTTCTGTCACTTCTGGAGTGTCTTTGTGTTGGTCTCCGACACCACTCTCTCCGCCCTCTTCTGCTTCAAACATCTCTTCCGATCCTTTCCTCTCATCTCTATCTCTGTCGTCGACCTCTGTGTCCAAAGTCTGTACTTCTTGTGTCTCTTCTGCCACCACATGTGCTTCCGGTTCACCGATATTCTCATCGACCACTTCATCCAATCCCTGTATCTCCCGGTGCTCTTCGAGTTCACCATTCAATAGATTATTATTTCCATTAATTCTCAACAAATTAATACAATTTATTAATTCAATTGATTTGTCATTCAATTCATGACTATTAAGTGAAACATAGTTTGCATTCAATTGAGTGACTCTTTCACACAATTTGTTATCAAAAACCTTTAGATTTGACAATAAATTCAGTTTTGACTTCATTTGACCACTAATTGAATTATTAACTAAATTGTCACACATTTTGAGTGCAATTCAAAGCAATTAAAACACCAATTGATTCACAATTATTAGTATAACTGTAATTTAAAAATGTGTTCAAAAATCACAAAATGATTAACTTTTGTGCAAACTTATACAAAACGGTTTTATTACAGTTTGTGAGTCAATACACGCCTAACACTTGAAAACTATTTCAATAAATGTTAAGAAACACTAATTTATGGCAACAATTATTATTTATTTTAATAATTATTTTATATTCAAATTAAAAATTTATTTTAATCTTAATTTTAAAAGCAATTAATCCAATAAACAATTGAATTTTGAAATTAAGACAAATATACTGTAGTAATAAATTTGTTTAACATTGCAAACACTATTTAAAATTTGCATTTTATTTGACCATGGATGTTTACAAAACTTTTAAATATAAGTCTATTTAAATCATTGGGAATCGGCGGCGCACCTAAACCCAAGTGTGGCCGCCCTGTCCAGTGAGGGGGCCATTAATAAATACTTGTTATGCAAGTCCAACGTATACCGGGTCTCATTGGACGGGAAATACCACGTACTACCCTGAGCATGGTAATAACTTCCACCCCTGAGCACAGCATAGCGGGTGTGGTCGTCCACGTACTCGTCAGTCCATTGCCATACACTCCCCACAGCGTGTAGGACACCGAACGGAGACGAGCCGTTCGTATATAGCGTGACGTCGGCGGGCGGTGTTAAGTCACGTCCCGTAACCGGTGGCGGCACACGACTGGCGTCGAAAGTGTCGCCCCA